AACTATCGCGCCCACACACATCACCTCCCAATCCAGCTGGCTGCATTCGGTCCAGCTTCCGCTGCCGTTTGACTGGACGGAAACCTCGCCTGGGCTGGAGGAGGGTAGCAAGCGTAGACGGTTCTGTATACCCTTTTCGTACTTGTTGGTGGCTTAATGTCGCATTTGGGTAGTCTCGAGGGTGACCATTGCGCTCTTACAAGCATTTCGGACAGTAACATTCTGTACGCCTGGTGGGTATTATCGACGACTCTAGAATCTGGCCCGAGAAAAAGAAACAAACCGCCCCGGTTCTGTCTCAGCATCTCTGAGCCCGCACCGGGGCGCAAAAGTGTCGCCCGCTATGCATGGTCTGAGACGCCATGGGAATAGATAACTTCACCATCCTCGGACCGCCGCTGTGGTACAGAGCGCGCGATGGGCACAGACAGCTGTTTGTTTGCTGCAGGCCCTCCCACTTGTTCGCATGGCACAGCACGGCAATGACGAAGCAGGATTCACTTGCTGAAACCACGGTCTGCTCTTAGCCTAATTGTCTGGGGGGCCCAGCAGGTCAGGGTCTCCACCAAGACTGGGGTGCTTCTTGGTTCTACCCGCACGATGGCGTTTGCCGAGTAATTGTCACTTTGGACCTTTGGCGTTCTCTGCGTCTTCCTAATATGGGTGGATATGCTAGTACGTCGCTGCTGATTGCTCCTGGAGTCTGGCCTCACATCTAGCTGTTCCAGGTGGGTGGTGTCTTATGATGCCATGCTTCTAAACCGGCATATGGTTTATCAATATTTGTGACTGAGCGCACATATAGGGCACTCAAATCAAAGTCCCTTGTCGCCATATTCATCGTGCTCGTCGAGAGGGTAGATCCACCTTCCTCGAAGAGGGAAGCGACGTCGGTGATCCAAACCATCCTAGGAGCCAGCTCATGTCAAGGCTCTCGTCCAGGTTAGTCACTCGTTAGCTTGTTGGGTAAACATAGCAGACGAAAGAAAGCAAAATTGGATCCGGGCGGAGGCATGTTGGACTCGACAGGCCTGCGGAAGAGCGACCCAGAGCCGCGACGATACAATGCTGGTCTGTCACAGTTTCCCCCCTCCCCCTCCAAGTCGGCCCGCACACCTTAGTCGCGTGGGTATCAGGTTCATCTGGGTTAGTATCGCCGATGACTTTCTTCCCAGCTTTTCTTCTTATAGCTTCACACGAGGAATATAAACAAGCCTAGCTGCAGGCTCAGAGATTGGTTTAGCTTCGCGATGGGCATGGGGGCATGTTAGCCGAACCGCTGTTTGGGGAGAAAATGCCAACATGAGTAAGTAGCTGGGGGTGGTTGGCGAAGGGTCCCGTCGGCCCTTCTCGGATGGTCAAGAGTCATGATTAGTGAAGCTCTCTCTCTGTAACATGCCCTGCGCTTCCATCAGCGGCCGATGGGCTAGGATGACAGCATGTATTGCTGCAGGCTCCGTCACATTGAATGCGCCGCTTACAAGACGGCTTGCGAAGGCTTCTCTCTCATTCTGTCACACATTCTGGTCCGTTGAGGGCCGTTATCCCTGGCGAGAGCGATCAGGTTTTCTACTGATCATTATTCGTTGCTCAGAACCCCAGTTCGCAATCCCAGTTGTTTCAGAGCACTCATTAGTCAACATAGGAAGTCCAACAGCTTGCTATGAACCAGGGCGGCCGAATTATCAAGAGATTTCCCAACTTGGGATTCTCTTCATCTTATTTGGCACCTCGGCGATGGGCTGTGTCTTCTCACTGGCATGGGCTGATCGCTCACGTAGTGCGGAGTGCAGCTTGCTGGGGTGGAGGTTGTTTGAGGAAAGTCACCAAAGGGTTTGGATTCCCTTGAGGACATGATGTTTACTTGATTCAGAGTGATGCCAATGCACTAGCGAACGGTGATGTGATGGCAGGGGCTGGGCCAAGAAGACTATCTCATGCACCTCATGAATCGAGCCGGCCCCCCGTAGCGGGCTCTGGTGCGAATCATGGGGGAGGGAGACGATAGAGCTGGAATTCTCCGTCATCTCCTAATCTCTGGGTGTCAGCGGCAAGTGATTCCTCGGGATTATTTTGTCTCGGGAACATCGTCTGACTGAGAATCTCACTCGTCGGTGATCCCTTTCCCAGTCATCCGCCAACGGAGGCTTCTTTTGAAAAACTGGGTTTCGCTGTTGACGAGAAAGGCAGATATAGGTCTTAGGCCCCCAAATGGCACATCATGGCGGCGATTTGTTTCTTGACGAGACAACACGGGGGCAAAATCCAGCCCCTAAAATAGACGCTGCACCAACTGTAATTATAGGCCTCGCCGGCGCCGATAGTAGGTGGCAATGATGGGAAATGAGGATGCAGACCATTTTTCATTTTTGGCTTGTTTTTTTCTTGACTGTTTGACAGCTCGGCCACTCCCCTCCTCTTTCTGCAATGCATGCTTGATGACGCTTCTTGTGGTTTCTTTTTTCTCACCGGATTTCTCCACACCTCAGGTGTCAATTGCGACATCATGGTCGATAGTCGTGCGGCGCTGCAGATGATTGGATCACTTGCATAATGGCAACCTTCAATTTGATAGGGGAGTGCAGAGAAGCATATTATCTCGTATATCACCAATCATCACGTACCTAACCCTTGGCTTGTGTTTTCCTGGCGGGTAGCAAGCGGACTCGTGGCTCTTTGAGTTTCGATTGGCCGCGCGGGCGGTTGAAGCCGCAGGGCATAAGCTTGGTATTCCCCGGAGCCCGTCGAATCAGATTGACAGCAAGCTGTTGGGTGTTATCACACGCAGCGGACACTAAGCCCGTATGCTGGCCCGATCGCCTGTAGGTGCTAGTGTATTTCTCACCTGACTCATGGATCAAAGGTCCTCATTGGATTGCCAATGCCCGCGCCACCAAGACCTGCATCGGTTGCGATCACCAATCCCGCTGCATGTATGTCTCAGTGCCATGAGGATTTGCATGTATGTCTCTGCCTGCCCGGGTTGGAAGGGTGGATGGATGGATGGGTGGATGGGTTGTGTGAAATTGCCCGTCGCCGTCGTCATAGGGGACCTTCCAACCACACCGAGTAGCCAGCATATTAACAGTTGCTTGAATGGTGACGGCCCCAGCTTTAGGGAGGCTTCCCTCCACCGATAGGTGAAACTCGAGCACCACTTGGCTACCTGGCCTTCCCTTCGGGGGGGCTTGACGCTGTGATTGGTAGCATCTCTTGACCTGCGTGATCGCGCATAAGAAGGAGGCTAGAAGAGGGCACTCCACAGAGTTCCTTCGGCTGTATTATGCGATGCGCCTCGCTGGACAGTCAGAGAACGCCCACTTTATTATGGAGCGCGTTAGTACATCCCAAGTGTTCAAACACGACAAGATACGCACCGCACTGGGCAGACAGTCAGGACGACAGCCTATCACGGCTTGCTTGGCGGCCGAGGAGGTGGAGGAGTAGACTCTGAGTCGCACAGGGACACTGGCCATTCGCACACCCTCATCCAGACCAACGGGCTCAGAGACGAGACAGCGTAGTAGCGTAACAAAGATAGGTGAAGGTACCTGCCGTTTTCTCTGCAAGGTGATCCGTGGAAGGTGCAAGCCAGCATGCCCTTGACTGTGTAGGGCAGGCCCGGGAAGGGATTCGCGCTGGACAGGAAGGAGGGGGCCGGTACAGCGAGTAGGCCAGAGGACGGACAAGCCTCGAGGGAGGCATCCCCATGTCGCCTGCAAAGACTCGACGAGCAATGGCCATTCGCTGTTGTTCGTATCTCTCGTACGAGGCGAAATGAAATTTGGTCTGGTTCAGCGTCCAACAAGCGCAGTCTGGCCGGACAGAGCCAACCATATGCCGGCTTATGATCGACGCCTCCAAACCCCTCCCACCCAATGTTACGGCCTGCAACCTTCGAGTGGCCAGTAGGGGGTGTCTGCACGCGTGGTGTAGGATTGATGGTGGGGGGGAAGGGGCAGCAAGTCGACAAGCCTGTCTGTCACCCAGTGGAGGTATCGCCGTTCCGACAGCTGCAAGCAGCAAGGACTTGCAGTCGTGCCCCTGGACGCCCCGAACAGCGACCCTTGTTGGAGAGGTGGGCCATCACGGAGCTTCGCAAGGTACCATCGTCAGCTCTTGATCCCGGGATCCCCTGCCTTGTGTTTCCTCCTCACAGCCACTAACAGATGCCGCTCGCCAGCTCCACCCCGCACCGATTCCCAGACGGCCATGCCGTTGGTCACACTCAGTCCTCAGCTCACACCTCAACACGCCCTGCCCATCTCAGGCCCCTCCCAATCGCGTGCAGAGATGGCTTGCGGCCATGTCTTTTGCCATTCTAGTCGACGCTTCGCTCTCGTACGTCCCCATCCTGGCCCCCATCTGGCCCTTGCCCCATCCCTCCCATTGCAAAGTTTATGCCGGTCTGGACGACCGACAGGGGTGCCTCCACTCGACGGCATCCAGTCCTCGTGTGCTTTGCGCACGTACTTTATAGCATGTCCTGCCCGCCCTCAGTCCCAGCCTACTGGATGTCCCTTAAAGCGCTTTGCTGTTGCTGATCTTCTTCACTTTGTCCGTTTGGTGTAATTCTATTCTTGTATTTTGATATCTCCAGGCTTCCCTCTCTCTCCTTGCTTCAGCGCTCCTTCAGGTTGAGAGACAATGCCTCGCCTCGTGCCAGTGTAGTACACGAACGTCCAAGACACTTGCTACCAACTCGTCTGCTTCTCGAGAAGCGCATGCGACCAATTACCCACAGACCGGCGTGCTTCTCCGAGGCTCTCAGCTTAATATAAAATATACGACTTGAATCCAGCACCTACGGCATCTTACTCCATTGGCGGAATATAATCTTGATATTGTTTGGGCGCCGCAAAACCACGGAACGGCGGCATTGTGTGATATTGCATAGACGGGAGTTTCAACGACAAGACGGGATAGGCCCAGAGCCCTAATATTTACCTTCCGAATTATCGACCAGACCCTCGAGACACCCAAGGTGTTCCTTGCCCGCCATGGCTAACCAGTCAACGATAAACCTTTGCCCAAAGCCTTTCTACGATACCAGCCTTTTCCCGGAAGATGGTGGATGTGAGTGCTGAAAGCAGCCACTTTCCAAGCCTATGTTTTGCTAACTACGGTGACAGTCGTGGAAGGAAGGTTGTGCTCGACATTTTCATCAGGGCTGACATGCTGTCTCCCTTGTCCTATGACGGACTGGGTATATCCAGATCGCTTCGATACCCTGTCGGCTGCTGCAAATTGGGTTGCTACTGCCAGTGTAATATTCTGTGTGTTCCTACTCTTGTCATGGGTTGCTCTGCCTGTGGAGAAGACAAACCGCCATTACCTGAGCGTGTGCCTTACAATAGCCGTTCTTCTCATGAATGTATGTTGATGAGAGCCTCCTCCTATCCCAGAGACGCCTTTCTCTAACTTTGTTAATACAGCTTGGGTTCGTGATACCGTTGGCAGCTCAGCCGGAGCAGTGCTATAACACCATCACGCCCAATAACATGCATACTAATCCAGTATGCGGTGCTTCTGGTGCTTTCTTGATCCTTGGAGGTTGGGCTGGCGTGATGTGGGTGTTCCTCCGGTCGCTGTCACTTCACCTGCAGATCTGCTGGCAGGTTCTTGTTGGACGCAACTTTATGATCTTTTCCCAAGCAGCTGGCTGGGGGGTGCCAATCATTGGTGTCATCCTTGCCATCCTCTTTAGCGGACTGTCCTTCCGCTTTGGCGCCACCTGCCATATCAACCACAAGAACAGTCTCGCAGACTTCTGGATCCCCTTGCTTGCTTTCGCAGGCTTGACTGTCATTATTACTTTTGTAACCTTTGGATATTGTATCAAGGTTTACCTCGCATCTCTGTCGGACCATAGCGAGTCGACTGAAGGTTCCGGCCTGCCGACTCTGGCTTCCATCTCGAACAGCATGAGCCCCAGGCAGGCGTACCGCCGTGTCAGGCGCGTCATTGGGCTGCAGTGGCGAGGAATTGCTATCGTTTTGATCATCATCGCTGATGTCATTTTCTTCTCTGTTATCTTTGTTTTCCAGGACAATGTTGTCCAGTCAGTAACAACTGACCCCACAATCGCTGAGGATTGGTCTCTTTGCCTTATCGCCAACAAGGGCGACAAGAACGCATGCTTGAGCGAAGCAGGCCACCTGGTTGTCAATGAAGCCACCGTCACAGCCGTCCTGCTGCTACTTGCGGTAAGTTCACCTGGTTGAACCCACCTCGTGTATACCTTTGACTAACTCTAAACCCAGCTCAATGGTGTATGGCTGTTATTCCTTCTTGGCCGCTGGTCCATGGTGGTGGGATGGTATGAACTCTTGGGGCTGCCCAAGCGCGCCAAGAATGAGTTCGTTTCTGCTGATGCCCGGTTTGAAGACCGTAAAGAAATACGTTCGTACGAGATGCTCTCAAAGGATAGGAGTCTTGAAGTAACAGCGATGTCTCCAGTCACTTCCCCGCCACCCGTGGGCCAGAGATATACCCCGGATTATTTCCCCGAGTCGGCACGATATCACTATAACGCCCCGATGCAGTCTTTCTCGAACCCTCGCCCACCTAGCCGGCCACCCTGGGATCCGAGCACGTCATATGCAAACCCGAATGACTTCGACAATATCAACCCCCTGCGGATGAACAGTATTCGGGAATCTCGTCGTTGAGAGACGACCTGATATTGCTGAAAGAGCTGGATACTCTTCTAGCAAGTGAAGGATTATAATGAATATAACGATACCCCCGATAATCTGGAAGTGGCGCCGTGACGAACGACAGGGCTACCTCATCTTCGCAATCAAGGGGAAAAGGGAAAAACAAAGGGTCGCCTCATGGCATCGCCGGGAATACAGCAACGGCTCGAGGATTCTTCCATTCATACCATTGGAAAATACGGAACCCTCCCAGACATTTCACCAAGCCGGACATGACTGCCACTGTGTCTAGGCCGCATCGTTGCAATGTTGTAGCGAGTTCTTGGCCCCCGCGCACATATAAAACACAGAATAGTGATGTTGCGGTCAAGGGTTAGGATTTTGAAACGTTGACCTCGAATGATGCGCTTGGCGCTATCCGAGTGTCCCGTGCATTCGAAAGGCGTCTGCCTTTTTGGGATTATATGTACAACGATCCATGCAAGGTTAAGCCCCTCAAGCTTTTTTTTTCCTTTTTAGATGATTGGTGGTGAACACGGAAGCAGCGGAAAGATTATCTCATAGACCTGGAAACTTGGTAGAGCAGGGATCTCAATCAGTAAAAAAAAAAAAAAAACTACATAGAACTTTGACTGACCGTATCTTCTCGCTTGCGAAGTCTCGTGTTAATAGTTGCCTGATCTTTAACCCATTCCTTTTGAGTATGCACTGATAGGCAACCGCTCCTGGATATACATATCCCCGAGTGCCAAACAAGCTATTTTTCTCCGAGAGCAAGAGATAAAGAGAAGAGGCACAGACAGACAGAATCAAAGCCGGAATCTACGCCGGGCCCGAGAGCGAAGACATGGCGTCACCGACGTAATGCCGGATGTCCCAATATGCCAGTCTGTCACACGACATCCGGGTGGGTTTGGGATCTGCGAGATTCCAAATCTGATTTTGGATGGCAGGACACATGCGCAAACCCTGTGATTGGGACTGTCACTGGTGGGTGTCTACCCGCTATTCCCATTAATCTTATCCAAAGCTTTATTCAAGTCGAACCTCTCGGCAGCTTCGGAAGGCAAGCTCGGGGCGCGAGAAACGAAACATCTAGATGTGCGGACACGAAGACGAGGGAGCAGAGGCCCAGTGACCCGATTTTTTTTTTGGTAATCATGCTGCCTGACCCGGGTGATGCGGACACCTCAGTTTCCCGAACGTGCGTGTCAGAGAAGGCCAGCGATGCATTGATGAGGCTCAGTTGACTTAAAAGATCGGCCTTGCCCCCAGGTGGTACCACTACGTAGAGTAAATGTCACAGTTCACCATATCCGCTCCTATCGTGAACCTCTATTGTCTGCTTTACGAAACTCGTGGAATTACTCATTTTTGAGGTTTTCACTGCAGTTTGATGTCCGAGTTGGGCATCATCCAAGGTTGTGTCTCACAGCAACGTCAGCCCTGTGGCAGTATACCTATAAACGCCCGGAGTACCAAGCCCGAAGCCGGTTGCTATATTACGGCGCGAAATATCGAGAATAACCAATATTCTGGCCGTGGTTGAAAAGAAAAGGACACCAGCGTACATTAGGGCCTTTGCGGTCAGATGTTGTAATAGCGGGTGAGCTTGATCTTTGGCACACGAGAACCCCTGTTACAACATGGCCCCCGGTGGAGTCCAGCGCGTTGGCGGGCAGGTCGCGGCGTGGTTCAGAAGGGTTACCGGCCAAGCTAGCGGCCGCATCCAGCTAACGGACACGCTGCCTGGCGGCTTCTCACCATCGCACGATGGCGCAGAGCCATATCCTCTTAAACAACGTCGTCGACGGTTCCGGTGTAACCCGCGGAGCCTCTTCTCATCTCGCTTCGCCATGATCATCCTCCTCATTGTCTCGTTGATGCTGGCGGGCCTGATCTACTTTTGGCACTCGGAGGGCCCGTATCAGATTCCGTGGTTCCCTGACAAGGACAGCCGGGAGTTCGCCCAGCACCCCATCCCCCCCGCGAAGGAGCACACCAAGATTGCGAACTACGAGCTACCCCTCAGCACCAAGGGACGGAACATTGTCGACGCCCGCGGGCGCCGCTTCAAGTTGGCGTCGGTGAATTGGTACGGAGCTAGCGATGAGCTCTTCGTCACCGGCGGCCTCGACGTCGTGCACCGCAGCGTCATCGCCGAGTCGATCAAGAAGCTGGGCTTCAACAGCGTGCGACTCCCGTATGCCGACGAGCTGGTGTACAAGAACCCCATAATCGAGGAGAGGCTGCTCACTGCCAACCCGGACCTCGTTGGGCTTCGCGCGTTGGACATCCTCGAAGCCGTCACGAACGCCCTCACCGATGCCGGGATTGTCGTCATCATGAACAACCACATCACCACCGCGGTGTGGTGCTGCGGCGCCGACCCCTGCGACTCCGGATGGGCCAACGACCACCTGGGCCCCATATGCCGAGTGAAACAGACGGAGGAGCAGTGGATAGAGAACTGGGAGACCGTCATGAGGCCGCACGTGAACAACCCTCTGGTCATCGGCGCGGACCTGCGAAACGAGGTGCGGGGCCTCTGGGGGACGATGCCCTGGAGCAAGTGGGCGACCGCCGCCGAGAAGGCCGGCAACCGCCTGCTGAAGATGAACCCGGACTGGCTGATCTTCGTCGAGGGGACCGAGTCGGCCAACGACGTCTCCGGCGCCCGGACGCGGCCCGTCGTGCTGGACGTGGAGAACAAGCTTGTCTACTCGGCGCACATCTACGCGTGGTCCGGCTGGGGCAGCACGGAGGGTAGGTTCCTCCAGCGATCCTACGAGTCCTTCGTCCGGACGATGCGGCACAACTGGTCCTACCTCCTGGAGCAGGACATTGCGCCCGTCTGGATCGGCGAGATTGGGGCGCCGCGGTACCCCAATCTCGGGGACGCCCACTACTGGCACAACATGATGAAGTATTTGAAGAAGGTTGATGCAGATTTTGGATACTGGGCTTTGAATCCGCGCAAGCCGAAGGGTGATATTCACGAGGGATACTCGATACTGGAGGATGACTGGGTAACTCCCATCGTGGATTACCGGATGAAGGACATGACTGAACTTATCAATCAGTGAAAGATCCTAGAATGGATCTCCACAAGATGCAACAAGATATGAAATTGATGCGGCGTTCTGATTTGGGAATATGTACATTTTTAGTTTGCTATGATTGGGAGCTCCCTGACAGGATAGCTACCTCCCTAAACTCAGGTAGGTACCTTAGCTTAAGGGTTCAAATTTCAAGTTCATGATTCTTGTTTCTTGAATAAAAGTATTGTGTCTCCTGTCCATCCTAGCTCTAGACTTTGATCTGATGCATAGGTTGTAGTGCCTGGCATCACATTGCCAAGAGTGTACGTCCTGAGGTAGGTACCTTAGGTTAAGGGTTCAAATTTCATTATTCTTGTTTCTTGAATAAAAAAGCATTGTGTCTCCTGTCTATCCTAGCTCTAGATTTTAATCTGATGCATAGGTTGTAGTGCCTAACATCACATTGCCAAGAGTCTGTACGTCCTGAGGTAGCTCCCGAGCTACCCTAGGCGGGCGCTAATGCAATTGGACGATGCGACTCATCCAACCCGAGAGCTTCCCCCGCTAAGTGTTCCGAAGCTCTTATCGATAACTTTATTAACCGCCTTCAACTCGGACCCCTCGCCACCTTTTGTGCACAATGCCAGCCTTCCCATTCACCACTTGAACACAGCTTGCCCATCGCCTACACTCTGCATACGACACCAGCTCCAGCTTTTCTAATTACATCCAATGTTTCTGGGCTCCTAGCGTATTGCGCCGCACGCAACCTAGCGGCGCTACAAACTGCTGTCTCACATGGAGAGCCCGTCTCCCAAAGTCGCACCTGCTCGGAAGTTCAAGCCAATAGCGATTGGAAAATGCCACGTCCAGACCGCAGCGGATCGTGTAGGCCTATGCCCCTAGAACATGGTAATTTCATACCACGAAAGAAGACATGCTGATGTTGGGGGGATGTAGTTCGGTCCTGGTGCCGAGGGCGCCATACGAGATCGCGAGCGGCTGGCTCTGGGTATACCATACGAGGGTAATGAGCCGCCGTTTCTTTGGCCGAGCGGGAGTGGTGACGGCGAGGACGAAGATGAGCAGGTCGATGCTGCCAACAGATCTATCTACAAATCAGTCCCGTCCATTCAGTCGAACCGCAACAACCTGACTGCCCTCTCGCAACTATACAATGTACATACCTGACGCTCCCTAGAACTTGACCATGATCTGGATACTGACAGCAGCAGCTTTACTTCGTAGCGTATCAAGGCTGTATCTTCGTGTACAGATTAAGGAGCGGTGCCAAGAACGCTCTCCCCCGGCATCCCGATCTGCAGCTCAAGCCTCCCGCGAGCGACGAGGCTCGGGCGGTCGGAGGACTCCTAGACGCACGTACTGGGCACGCCATCAACCACATAATCACAGGGAACCTTGGAAACGAAGAGATTGTCCTTGCAGCCCATGATGATGGAGATGTGACTGCTTACAAGACGAAGGACATCGCAGACTACATTTTAGGCGCGAAGCAAGTCGCTGTATTTACAACTCCTATGAAAGACTCCCAGTCCGCGCCGAATCATGGCAAGAGACCCCGCCCAAGACAATTCTTTCACGAGAATGTCGGAAAATCTGCCTGGGGACTGGCCATCCACCAACAGTCCCGGCTGATTGCAATCAGCTCCAACCGTTGGGAGGTGACTGTATTCGCATTCGCCCTGTATGACGACACCTCTGGACGGCCCCCGACACCTGCGTCGATCGAGCCGCGTGAGAATGTTGAAGCTTGGGTCCGTCAGCGGCAGCGTACGTGGAGGATTATCATACTGCTGGGCCAGGAAGCAGATAACTTGCCAAATGTCTGTTTCCTCGACAATAGGGAAGGCTATGCCGAGAAGGTCTGCGCAATCGATATCAAGGGCTCGATATGGATTGCGGACATTTGGAAGCCGAAACAACCAGCATCGCACATCCCCCCGTTTGATGGGCAGGACATCATCAGCGATGAGTTTTATCCTTCAGTGTCGAGGTGAGTGCGATAAAACATGACCTTCCGTAATACAAGTATACTAACCAAGGCTTCTTCACAGAGGTTGGGGAGTTCTTGCATTCAACGATAGCTGTTACATGGAGGTGAAGAGTGTGGAGGAACTCATTGGGTTCCCCGAACATGATTGTACTATCAAGCCATCCCGGCAATCGTTGACTCAGCCTCTAGCCAAGATACAGCCGGTTCTTGAGAACATTCCTGAGAATCCTTGCCGGCCATCTGATACAGATAGATCTGTATTGAGGCGGGCGTTGCTCGAGCATTTTCATCATCCTCTCGAACAGGTGATGCAGGTACCACAGGAGAATTTCATTATATTTGGTGATGGGATTGACAGTGAAGATGAGGATGACGATGTGTATGACGAGGATGTAGTCGAGGACGAGGATGGGGATGAAGACGAAGGCGAAGACGAAGACGAAGATGAAGACGATGAGGACGACCAGGGTGACGAAGATGAAGATGAAGATGAAGATGAAGATGAAGATGAAGACGAGGATGAGGATGAGGATGACGACGATGGCGATGACGACTTTGAGCACGGCAATTCCGGAATTCTGGGAAGCGAGGCAGTAGCAGCAGGCCCTGGGGGCTCCATCGATATGGCAGATATTGTACCTTTTGAGCAGGCGTTCCAGCAGGAGTGGGAGCAACTGCAACTGCAAGGAGCACAGCCGATTCCTCCCCACGCCGTGTGGCTTGCAGCGCATCCGCCGAACGGATCGGCACCCCCGCAGCATATCATGGCCCAGTTTCAACAGCAAGCTTGGCCTTTCGAGGCCACATTTCAGGATCTAAGCGATGCATTGGGAGAATTAGAAGACGCATTTGGTGAGCTCGAGGATGCCCTACCCCATATTGGCTCCTCTCTCCCACAGTTGCACGTGGCTTTGGCCAATCCCCCCAATTCCATGTTGCGACGATGTCCCAGGCGCGAGTGTCGGGCGCCTGAAAACAGGATTCCAGAGCCAAGCCCACTGATCCTGGAGCGACTGTTGCAGATGATATACTACCCGCATACCGCGGAGGTGACGCCAGCACCTATGGACAGACCCTCGCGGATCATGTTCGCCACATCGTCCAGGAGGGACTATAACATGAACCGCACCCAGCTGTATGGTGCTTTTGAACGCTTAGCACCAGGATATCGCATCCTGCGAACATACGAAAAGGACTTTGAGATGTTTGAGCTCCCGCGGCCAGGGGCAGAGCTGCGGAGAGATATCGGCATGTTTTGTGGTAATGCTCTCGAGTTTGAGCGCTTCCGGGATCCGCTCTCCTCGTGGAGTTTCCGGGCAACAAGCAGACTCAGTCTGCTGGCACATGTTCCCGAGATGTCCATCGTTATTCTCGGGTCACCAACTGGACGTGTGCTGGTCGCATCATTGACTCGGCTGAGTTCCAAAGAGAACGATTTCAAGGGACGAGGGATGTGGAGACGCGGAATCAGAGTGGAATGGGTTCTTCCCAACAAAATAGAAGAGAGAAACCATCGGACAACTAAGCGAGCTCTCCATGGGATGGCAATCGGTCGCATACCCGATGATGGCGATCAAAATGGCGAGCAGGCTGGAAGAGGGGCATCCCTCCCGCGACGATACCGGCTGATGCTGCACTACCAGAACCACGACATCTTTTCTTACGAGGTTACGAGAAACGAGCAAACAGGCAAGATCTGTCTGTTTTGATAATGTATTTCTGGACTATGATTCTTCACGATCTTTGGTTTCGGCTTTTTCTTTTCTGTCAGTGTTTTTCTGCTTTCTCTGTCTTCGTTCTTTCTCCTTCCCTTCTTGCCTAGGTGGGAAACTGGTGAGCTCATCTCGAGCTTCATCCTCACCCTGGCTGAGCAGGGCTGTTTATCTCTGCTCAATTCTACTCTTTCATCTATTGGCAAGGTGGACGAGCCTTGAAATGCTTGAGATGAGTTACGAAAGCGAGGTCTGTGCTGAATCTTTTCGATTGTCTTTTGGTTTTTCTGTTTGTCAAAACTGGATTCGGGAATGGCGTGAGATGGATATAATGGATAAGGTGGGAATTAAAACAATTTGTTCTAGGAATAGCTAAGTAGGCAAGTGAGGCTACAGATGAGATCCCTCTATTGGCAACATGGTATTACGGGTTGCCAGAGGGAACCGTGGCAGTATGAATCAGACATTGCTTCAAGATAAGCTCAATTCAAATCTGGAGGTGAAGCATCCGTTTGGAGCCAAGTGTCACGTCATGAAACGTCTGCTTTCGCGTGGAAGTAAAATTGCCAAGCCAAAGGCCAGCTGCCGGGAGCTGAAAGGGCCAACGGACGCGCCATGACTCGACCGATAAAGTGACGTGAGGGCAGCTAGCAGATACCAGGTTTGACATAATCGGCACTGGCGATATGAGGTAATGGAGACTGGAAGTACCTTGCAGCGGAAACTAGTATGGCGCGGTACCTGGATTTGACACCGGGGGGGGGGCCTTCTGGGGTAATGGAAGCGGAAGTCAGTCATGCAGGCCCGAGGCTATGGGATGGAGGGATGCGATCGGATGCCGAGACGGGCTCAGACGAAGAAAATAAGGGACCCAGGGTCCCGGGCAGGCAGCGTGCAGTTTTCTATCTCGATTGAAGAGGTTTCTAAGGCGATGATGAAATCAAATGCAATCAGGGCAAGGGTGGAAGCAAGCTCTGACGAGATGCAGTGTCGTAATTCGCGACAGGGGCGCGCGGGCTGTGATTGGGCGGGGGCACTTTCGCGGATTAATGGGTCGAGGTAATGGAAACGACTCGGGCCTCTCACACCCTCTCACACGATCAGGAAGCCACGGACTGGCGGCCCTCTCCCCAACTTGCTGGCCCTGCGTGCTCCACTTCTGGCTCGTCCCCCGATTTAGGTTGCTTTACGTTGCCGAATTGATCAGGCCCGTATCCGCCAATCAGGGCACTCGGTTTCTGTTATCTCCATTTCCATTTTCAACGCCTGGGCCCTGGGGGCGAGCAGCGTCCGGCCGAGGGCTTAGCTGGACGGCCATGACACGAGGAGTTGACGTGATGGATTTGGCTAATTGATTTGGGTCTTGTCCAGGCACGGGGCGTCTGGCGGTTCGGCATGGCAGTTGGGCTGCTGTGCGTTGCAGAGCCTGTCTGGCTTGTCTCGCCCATGAGGCTGTCATGCTACATCTCGCTATCATCGTCACCACCACCTCAGCTGAATTGGCATTGATACGGATGTGATAATAGAGAAAAAGTGAAAAATAAAGACCTGGGGTTGTCAAGTGAAAGCAAGGTGGGGATTGGGGGAACGGAGAAGGGTGTATGTCAAGGGAGTGAGTGTTCCCTGCTCTGATATCTCGACTAAAGCCACACCCCATAAGATGGCAAAACGCCACATAGATTTGCTCGACGACTCCAATTCGACAGATCTAGGTTTATGCATGTCCAGACTGAGCTGGAACCCCAAGACAAGGGCAAGTAAGGAACAAGGAGGCAGCCCGTGTCAGCCCTCTGTGTGGTCAAAGCCCAAGATCAATATCAAGCCTCGTCGATGTATTGGGACGTGGACCAATGCAAGGCCACGGATGGCCAGATAACAGGTGCTGACATGTCTCACAGCGCCTCTTGACTTTCTCTCCCCTTCCCACCCCACGTCGTCCGGGCTGCCTGGCGATGAGGGCAAAAAGATCGAGGCAATCCACGCTTCCAGCTAGCTGGAGACTCTCTTTTCTGGGGCCCCTGGTTTCGTAGCCTCTGGGACAGGCAGAGATCACTGATTCCAATGTCAATTCGTTCTGTAATCGAAAAGATGCCCAACCGGACTAAGAGGGTCCTTACGGAGGCTAGAGAATGGAGTGGTGGGACCGTCTCGAGCCAAGTATCAGACTCTTGCACCAGAATACCAATTACATACAGACAGACGGGCAGATTATACATCGATTCTGCGCACCAGAGCCAGACGAAGCCCCGACCGGCGGCGCCCCCGTACTTTCCCAGGGTGGATGGGATGGGCCCGTTCCCCATTTGATCTCCCAGACCAGACCCAGCACTCAGCCAGGGATCTGCAGGGCTTCTTATCAAGATAGCCGTTTGTTGCATAGTTTCTATGAGTACACTTAATGGCAAGTGTGATTGATACACATGGGAGGCCATGGCTTGGGGGGAGGGGGGGCGTAACCTGGTCTCCAGTCGAGATATCTTTATTAAGTCGCCTCCTCCTCCGCCCTCCTCGTTCCATCTCTCCATCTGGAGTATCCGTCGTTGCATTGCATTGCATAGTATTTGGGTAGCTTACTTGAACAAACTCATCCATCTCGTATGATTCGACAGGCACAACCAACTCTTCAATAAACGGTGTCCAAAAATCTTCTCTTCCATCTTGTTTCTGGGGCTTGTTCACAATATCCACCATGTCTTATTCAACGACCGGGCCTCCCACCGTGTTCAATGGAACAGATGAGGAACTGGGTGGTGACTCCAGTAAGTCTAAGGGAGCAAACCAGCTCGTCTGCCATGCCCGAGTCCATTTTCTCTAACAGTGCCTCTTCTTTGATTTACAGCCACCGAGAACCTCAACCAATGGTACCAGTCCGGTGACCAGGCTTACATCCTCCTCAGTGCCGCCCTGGTGATGCTGATGATCCCCGGCATCGCCTTCCTCTACTCCGGCCTCGCCCGCAGAAAGTCCGCCCTCTCCATGCTCTGGGTGGTCATGATGTCCTTCAGTGTCATCGTCTTCCAGTGGTACTTTTGGGGCTACTCCCTGGCCTTCAGCACGACCTCGAACAACCCCTTCATCGGCGACCTGCACAACTTCGGCCTCATGAGGGTCTGGGGCGCCCCCTCCCAGGGCTCCCCCCTCGTCCCCGCCCTCCTCTACTCCTTCTACCAGATGATGTTCTGCGGCGTCACCGCCGCCCTCACCATCGGCGCCGTCGCCGAGCGCGGCCGCGTCATCCCCGCCATGGTCTTCATCTTCTGCTGGGCCACCGTCGTCTACTGCCCCCTCGCCTACTGGGTCTGGAACGCCAACGGCTGGGGTTTCACCCACGGCGTCCTCGACTACGCCGGCGGCGTCCCCGTCGAGATCGGCTCCGGCATGTCCGCCTTCGCCTACTCCTGGGTCCTCGGCCGCCGCAACGAGAAGATGATGATGAACTTCCGCCCGCACAACATCTCCCTCATCACCCTCGGCACCATCCTCCTCTTCTTTGGGTGGCTGGGCTTCAACGGCGGCTCTGCCTTTGGCGCCAACCTCCGCGCCGCCATGGCCTGCTGGAACTCGTGCCTGACTGGCATGTTTGCTGCTGCTACCTGGTGCATCCTCGACTACCGCCTCGCTAAGAAGTGGTCCATGGTCGGCTGGTGCTCCGGTGCCATCTCTGGCCTCGTCGCTGCCACTCCCGCCTCTGGTTTCATCGACCCCTGGGCCAGCATCATCCTCGGTGTTGTTGCCGGTGTCTGCTGCAACTTTGGCACAAAGAGTGAGTCAACCATCATATCCCCCCAATTTAGTTCTCACACGCTAACCAGTGACAACAGTCAAGTTCCTCGTCGGCATCGACGACTCCCTCGACGTCTTCGCCGAGCACGGCATCGGCGGCATCGTCGGCCTCCTCTTCAACGCCTTCTTCGCCAGCGGCGGCATCATCGGCCTCGACGGCGTCAACACGGGCGCCTCGGGCGGCTTCCTCGACAAGAACTTCGTCTCCATCGGCTGGCAGATCGCCGCCATCGTCAGCTCCTGCGCCTACGCCTTTGTCGTCTCCGCCATCCTCGCCAAGGGCATCGACCTCATCCCGGGGCTCAAGCTGCGCGCCTCCGAGGAGGCCGAGCTCCTCGGCATGGACGACGACCAGCACGGCGAGTTCTCGTATGATTACGTCGAGGTCCGCCGCGACTTCCTCGCCTGGAGCCCGGCCCGCGACGATCCCGCCCCGGAGGGCCACGGCATCGAGCCCACGCACGGGATTCAGGAGCACGCCAACCTGACCACGCCGCCTAGCTCGGCTGGCGGTGACAAGAAGGACGCCGAGCCCGTGGCTGTTGATGCTACGAATGGCTCTTCTGAGAACGAGAAGCAGAACTAAAGAAAAAATGGGCTGGCTCCCCCCCTCAATTGGATCTCCAACAACCCCCACATATTCTAGACTGTCATACCATGCGATATCACTTCTGGGAGCTTCACATCAGACCCTCCCTATCTTTCTATTTCGTTTGAAAGCCCATTTTCTATTTATTCCTCTTTTTAAAAATCAACACGTTTTTCTCGGATACAGAAAAAAAGGTGTTGGGGCCAGCGGGTGCTAGGAGTTTTACGGGTGCTACTCATCATTCTTGATGCATAGCAATTGCTTTTATTCTATTTTCTCGGGACAGCTGTTGTTGAAAGGAATGAATACCCGCAGGATCGGATTCTGCTGTACGCTAGATCGCTTACTATCGTTTACTGCCTGCACTGAGGGAAACTCAAGTGCAAGGACTCAGTCCTTGTAGGCTTATATATATGAACCAACACATAATAGACCAAACGTTGAAAACAACACCAATTCTCTTTACGTAAAAACATCGATAAACACGTGTGAAATTATCCGTCCTCCTTTCACGTGCCTTTTGGGGGGTTATCTCTGTTGCATACGGTACGGGACGGTGACAGTCAAGAAGGTTCCGCTAGTCCAGCCGCGGTTTGTGTTGAACTCTCCTGAAGCTGGAATTTAT